AATAGATTTTTACACTTTACATTAAAAAAAAAACAAATCTGTTTGGAATTTTGAGCAAAATGTTAAAGCAATTACCAGACATTTCTGAAGCATATCTGTGTCGCATATGGTTTTGTTTGATGGCACGGTTGCTGGTTTTTGGTGGAATGGTGGCCTGTCCTCTTTCTTTGGACAGACTGCTTTTTTTTTTCTTTTTCTTTTTTCTTCTTCCACTTACTTTCAGTCCAGCCTGTCACAGAACCATATATTTGTTCCCATTTCTTAAGTTTAATTCATTCATAGCTATGAATTAATCTGTTTCACTTGCTTTGCTCTCTAATTCACAGCTCCATGCCTTGTCTGCGGGTTTGAAGGCCTTCACCTCATGGGAAGCGACCTCAGCCATCGAGGTGTGCCGCATGTCATGTGGTGGCCACGGTTACTCTCGAAGCAGTGCCTTGCCGGACATTTATGTTGAGTTTACCCCTACCTGCACCTACGAAGGAGAGAATACAGTCATGATGCTGCAGACTGCCAGGTAACGCAAAGTGACATTTAACACCACAAATTGGAGAACTACTGAAGCTGAATTATGTGTCAGTATTGGTGGTGTAACATATAAGCTCCGTTCATAAACTCACCTTCACACCGATGACTAAAACATGCAGTTAGTTGAAAAATGAAGATATGTTAACTTTTATTTCTAATAGGTACAGTAAATATTTCTGTAAAGCTTTCAATTGATAGAAACGCAGCTGCTAGCTATTTCGCGCATCTAACTGTTAAACTGAACACTCGTGTCTGCAGATACCTGGTGAAGAGCTACAAACAGGCTAAGGCAGGCCAGCAGCTGAGCGGCATTGTGTCATACCTGAATGAAGCAGATGTGCGGAGGGTGCAGCCACAGCCCGTCGCTGCCAGGCCAACAGTGGTTGACATCAATGACCTGACTAGCCTGACGGAGGTCTACAAACTCCGAGCAGCCATGTAAGAAAGCAGTGGGAAAGATGATGACCTTGTTACATGAAATATTACCAGTTTCCTTTTATTTGCCCTTAATATTTATATATCTAGTAGAATTGTACAGGTTTTCTGGGTTCGTACATTAGAAAAGGTGGTGGAACTTGAACATTGGATTGCACACTGGGGAAATTCACGCTCCAGCAGCAAAAGGAAGAAGTCAGGAAGAAAAGTCAATTGGAGATATTAGAAAAATGAAAAACCGTAAAAGAAGTTGTCTACAAAATTTTTTTTTAACTGTACAGAGAAGAAATCTGTGTATTTTACTGTGTATAGTAACATTTCTACACAGTAAAGTGCAGTCGGGGTGGTAAAATATGCCCTCTCCATGCTGCCACTTCACAACTGAGAACCATGATCACGATGGTCTCTGACAAAGTTGCTTTTTGATTCCCATTCATATTTAGGAATGGGTTTCCACTGAGTGTTGTCCTTCCTGTTATACACCGTATTTTCTTTTTTTAAAAACAAGTTTTGCAGTCGTCACTAATGATCTCTTTAATAGTTCAGTTTGCTAGTGCAAGTCTGACTTACACCTGCAGTTGTTGGTCATTTCCTGCATGTGACATGATATGCAGCTGTCATTATCGAAACCCATCCGGCAGGGAGTGTCAACTGTGGTGGAAGTGTGGGGTTTTTTTTGTTGTTTTTTTTTTTTTAAATGTGGTCCAACTTTAAACATCAGAGGGTTAAAAGGCAAATATGCATTTATAATTGGGTGTTTTGTTGTTTTTTTTTTAATAGTATTAAGAAAATGATGCTTAAAGTATTGGGACTAAACAGATGAAAAGAAAGTAGTAAAAGGCTAGTTTTTCATAAGAGGAGTTGACATATCTGAAAAAACTAAATGAGTGTTATGGTGTCAAACACTGACTCTGTGTTGGCAGGTAGGTAAGGCTTGGGAGGGGTGAGGCTTTAGTCAGGAACCAGACTAAAAAGCTTGTTTGGTGTTTCTTAAAAATGGACTTGCACAGTCTGACATTTGCTCAGTTGTACATTTCTGCCTGCTCTAACTAAGGCGATTGCAAGAGGGAGGATTAAAGCGTCTCTAAATTGAAGATTAAATAAATCCATCAGGGAGGCAGGTTTAACTTGGACTCAGCAGTGTTTGTCAGGGAGCGTAGGCAACTTCTCTCATCTCCCCTTTTTATCTTAATCCACGTGTTTCTGATTATTTGAGGCACCTGGAAGTTTTTCTTGTATCATCCAAAGGGCGCACATACTGTATCGTTTCGGACTCAAACTAATTCAGTTAATTTGTGTTTAAGGTTGGTGGCTGCTCTGCCTCCCCAAGTTGTAAAATGCTCTCTTTGTACCCCTGCATTTGTTTTGTTTACCACCAAAGAAGAAACCGCTCTTACAGTATCTGTCATAACATCAGCAATGCCACAAAAACGTTTGTTTGTTTGTTTTTTTATCATTATTTCACAGCATAAAACCTCATTTTTAGCTTACTTGCCTTAATCCAGGACTTTATAATCCCTGTCTAAGCCCAATTTTAGATGTATTCATTGAAGCTTGAATGTTGTAGGTTAACTAGTGTACTAATTAGTGTACTATCTTCCTCCAAGTCTTTGGTGTAAACCTGCTATTTATCTATTAAGTCTATTATGCAAACACTAGTTACTGTCATAGGAGGGGCTCATCTTTTTTTGTTTTCCATCACAAAAGGTTAAAAGTCAACTTTAGTGTGACATGAAACACTCTTTGATCTATAATTGTGAACGAAAAGGGAAGACTGATCGTACTCACATTTAGTTGTATTCAGTATGCAACTCTGTAGGTCAGCGCTAATCTTTAATGTTGATCCATTGAAGAGCATTCGCTACACATTTTAGTCTAGACATACGGGGATGGAAAACTGCAGCTTACCTACAACCACAAGGAGGTAATTCTGGCTTTGTTGCTTAATGCACGCTATGTTTCTGTGTTTATAGTCTAGTGGAGCTGGCAGCGAAGAGCATCCAGCAGGAGCTGCAACGCAGGAAGAGTCAGGAGGATGCCTGGAACAACAGCGCCATTGACCTGGTCAGAGCCTCAAATGTAAGTTCAATTTTGCTTGATTGTCCTTTTTTATTCATAAATTATGACTAACCTTGGAAGGTTTTACTTGAAAAGAATATCTAAAACATCTGTCACCCTTTGAATATTGCCCTAAAGTTGGAGGTTGTTTGTTACTAGTCAGTATCTT